GAGCAGGAGGCCAAGGCCGAGCTGCAGCGGGCGATGTCAAAGGCCAACAGCGAGGTGGCTCAGTGGAGAGCCAAATACGAGACCGATGCCATTCAGCGCACCGAGGAGCTGGAGGAGGCCAAGTAATGAACAGTCCTAAAATCACACTGTTTTCCTCATAAAACTGACGTGGTAATTCATCACAGGACTTGTGATTTGACAGGAAAAAGCTCGCCCAGCGTCTCCAGGATGCAGAGGAATCCATCGAGGCTGTGAATGCAAAATGTTCCTCTCTGGAAAAGACGAAACAGAGGCTGCAGGGTGAAGTGGAGGACCTGATGATTGATGTGGAGAGAGCTAACGCTCTGGCTGCTAACCTTGACAAGAAGCAAAGGAACTTTGACAAGGTGGCATTTTCATTCATGCTTTGTCCTCTTAAATGAAGGACCTAGCATTGTGAATTACTGATATGGATGTTTTATGTTTTCAGGTTCTTGCCGAGTGGAAGCAGAAGTATGAAGAAAGCCAGGCAGAGCTGGAGGGAGCTTTGAAGGACACTCGTTCCCTCAGCACTGAGATGTTCAAGCTGAAGAATTCGTACGAAGAAGCTTTGGACCACCTGGAGACCTTGAAGAGAGAGAACAAAAATTTGCAACGTAAGCAAACTTACAAAAAAAGAGGATACTCAAATAGTTGATTCACAATTGACAAAAAATCTGTTTTTTCAGACTATTTACATGAAGCAAATAAGGAGGAGTTTGTCCCCTAGTAGGCAAACCGGATAATGTTCAATGATCACAATTTCAAACTTTGTTTCTTACAGAGGAGATCTCTGACCTAACTGAAAATATTGGTGAGAATGGAAAAACCATTCATGAACTAGAGAAAGGGAAGAAAATAGTAGAGACAGAGAAGTGTGAACTCCAGACTTCACTTGAAGAGGCAGAGGTACTTTGTAACAAAGAAATCTCTCTAACTAATTGCAATGATGCCGTGGCTTGGGGCTAAACAACATTTACTTTTAATTTTAAGGCTACCCTGGAGCATGAAGAATCCAAGATTCTCCGCATTCAGCTTGAACTCACCCAAGTCAAGAGTGAAATCGATAGAAAACTTGCGGAGAAAGACGAGGAGATCGAGCAGATCAAGAGGAACAGCCAGAGAGTGATTGAGTCCATGCAGAGCACTTTGGATTCCGAGATCAGGAGCAGGAACGATGCCCTGAGAATCAAGAAGAAGATGGAGGGAGACCTCAACGAGATGGAGATCCAGCTGAGCCACGCCAACCGCCAGGCCGCCGAAGCCCAGAAACAGCTGAGGAACGTGCAGGGACAGCTTAAGGTATAGGAGCCACGCTGAAAACATTTGAAAAGAATGTTGACCTTTTACAAGACTTCATTGCAATTATAATTGAGTTTCCAATGAACCCTTCGTAAAGGATGTGATACTGCACCTTGACGACGCTGTGAGAGGCCAGGAAGAAATGAAGGAGCAGGTCGCCATGGTGGAGCGCAGGAACAACCTGATGCTGGCCGAGATCGAGGAGCTGAGGGCGGCACTGGAGCAGACGGACAGGAGCCGCAAAGTGGCTGAACAGGAGCTGGTCGACGCCAGCGAGCGCGTGGGACTGCTGCACTCGCAGGTGAGTAAAGACTCACACAATCACACGTGAAACAACCAACAGCTGAAAGTGATGACGCCGCGTAATCCAACTCAAACTATTGTTGGCTTAGAATACCAGCCTCATCCACACCAAGAAGAAGTTGGAGGCCGACCTCATCCAGGTCCAGGGTGAAGTGGAGGATTCTGTCCATGAAGCGAGAAATGCTGAAGAAAAGGCCAAGAAGGCAATCACTGATGTGAGTCATTACTACCAGCAGGCTGTGGGTTGGCAATTGTTTTTATGTTCAGATCATGCAATTGCTGCTGTTCTATTTAACAGCAACGTCTCCTCTTGTCAAACAAAGGCAAACCTTTTAAAGTCCATGAGTCAGTAATTTGTGCGACATTGGCTCAGCATCAGGTTCTGTTTAACATTGGGCTCTTTCGATTTTATTATTAATATTACAATCCATATTACATCAATATATATAATATCACTCCTCCATAAAGAGTATTTTCAAAACTAATTTATCATTTTGATATTTTCTCAATGTTATTGTTATGAATAACTTAAAGAAACTCTCCTTACTCTATCCATCAAACACACACACACACATCAATCAAAGCTTTCAATGTAAACCAACTGCAACAGCCTCAACGTTAACTACTCTTAGTCTCATTCAGCGCAGAGGAAGGTTGCGGTAAGCAGTCATACGGAGAATGGAGATGCTGTGTGTAAGATTTGAGATGTATTAGTACATGTTATATTTTTTGGTCTATTTCTACTCAATTTATGATGCTCTAGTCTAGGACTTGAAACATCCAAACATATCCAATAATATGAAAATGAAACACATTTCAGGCTGCCATGATGGCAGAAGAGCTGAAAAAGGAGCAGGACACCAGCTCCCACTTGGAGAGGATGAAGAAGAACCTGGAGGTGACAGTAAAGGACCTGCAGAACCGCCTGGATGAGGCTGAGAATCTGGCCATGAAGGGCGGCAAGAAGCAGCTCCAGAAACTGGAGGCCAGGGTAAGTGCTATAAGACAAACCTGTTAATTTCTACTAAAGGTCACAACGACGTTTTTTGCTTTGTGAATCACTGAATTCTTCCTCGTTCAAGGTCCGAGAATTGGAGTCTGAAGTTGATGCTGAGCAGAGGCGGGGGGCTGAGGCGATCAAGGGAGTGCGAAAGTATGAGAGAAGAGTGAAGGAGCTCACCTATCAGGTAAATTGCTGTTTAATAATCTTACTGCAAATCATAATGGTAAAAATGGTAACCCAAGACAGTCGGCTTAATTTACTATTGAGCCTGCATTACAATGCTATATGATTCCTGATTTACAACAGTTTGAAGAGGACAAGAAGAATATCGTCAGACTTCAGGATCTGGTGGACAAGCTGCAGCTGAAAGTGAAGGCCTACAAGAGGCAGTCCGAGGAAGCTGTGAGTGCACAGCATAGTTGATGAAATCACACAGATAATGTCACGCAGTCCGCAGGTTTTGACTTCGGTGTGGCTTGTCGCGCAGGAGGAGCAGGCCAACAGTCACCTGTCCAGGTACAGGAAGGTGCAGCACGAGATGGAGGAGGCGGAGGAGCGGGCCGACATCGCCGAGTCTCAGGTCAACAAGCTGAGAGCAAAGAGTCGGGAAATTGTTAAGGTAAAAAATAAGTTGAATAACGATTGTATAACTACATTTTATATAGAGTTTGCAACTTTGCAATTTGTTTTATAAATGGTCAATGTGAACCTTAAAAAACGTAAAATATTTGTACGTTTTATATTCTTTTCTACTGTCATTTCAGACAAAAGATGAAGAGTGAGAATGAAATGAAGATTATACAGTAACAGGAAGCCATATAATATGAGTCTCTTGTTACTTGTTCATTCTAGTATGCTAAGCATACATGTCAATAAAAAGTGCTTTGGTGGATCTTTTGTGTGCGCTTCCTTTCTTTTTACTACAAGACATTGATATGTTTAAACCTTCAGGGTTTTACATTTTGATTCACTATGTAGTGACACGTAAATGATTAAATGAAATGCATAAATCAAATATGGTCATATATAAGATATGACACAATGTTTTGTTTTGTACAGTAAATCACATTTGCAGTATCTCCCTTTGGTCCAAGTCCATTGATTTATTGCAATGAGTGAGTGAGTTAAGATGAAAATAAATATTTCAATATAAAACTTCATTCTCATTAATGTGCTCAGACTCAGGAATCAGGAAACATTTATTGCCAAAATATGTCAAACATACAAGGAATTTGTCTTGGCGGTTGGTGCGTGAAAATATTTTTTGTATTATTCCAAAACGTATATTTTGTAAACCCAATTAAACATTTTCTTTCCAAACAACATTATCACTTTTATTAATTAACCAACATCAGACGAAAGGTGTTTTACTTACAGCTTTGGAAACCACGATGCTCAAAAAGTGGCAGTTAAACGGTATTCTGACCGAGCAATCATAGCTGAGACTGTAATGTTTTATTTTGGATTGACGATAACCAACAATGTGTACTTGTGTAACGTTAACTAAATGCAGATTCTGAGCAACTACAGCTTAGCGAGTTTAACATAAAGCCAAACGTTGTTTATTGACAACTGAAATAAAAAAAATAATTCAGTAAAGAACAGCTTTACAGCTTTGCCAGGATCCCACCAGCTTCACTCACTCCTCCCACTCGTTCACAGTCCCCTGAATTCTAATCATCGTCACCTGCACCTCATCAGTTCACCTCCCTTTATATTTGTCTCCTCTTCACACACTCAGTGTCTGGTCTCGTCTCTACAGGACGCCACAGACTCCAAGCTACGTACCTGAATCCCTACCGGCTGATCCAAGGGACTCTCCTCCAGTCCGTAACCTGGAACTCGGACTACCCTCCTGTTAACGTTCCAACCTGATCATCTGCCTGCCTGTTCCTCATAAATCCGTCTGCTTCCATTATCGTGTCAATAAACTATTGAACTCACCTCACGGCTGTCTCCTGTCTCCCATTCGTGACAACAGCGGACATTATATATTTAAGACCAGCACCCCATGATCATTTTTTTGGCCTATTTAAAAAACATATTACTGCTACTATTCAGTATAATATAAATATAGTATAAAATTATACTATATTATATATTTATTTTATCAACTCGATATATATATATATATATCCTGCTTTTATTATTCTATATAAATATTGACAGTCAAATTTTGTATCATTATTAATTTTCTTTCTTGTGGCTGAAGATGGCCAGCTTTTATGTATGCCTGCATGTATATAATATATATATTTAATCCACATATATAATGCGTGTGTGTGTGTATTAACTGATATGATATTAACTGATCGGACGGAGTGTTTATGTTTCGCACCAGCGTTGTCAGTGTAGAGAGATGTGTGTAGACCGCAGGGTGTTATTCGTTCAGGTCACCAGAGGTCACCATTGCGCGGTAGGCAGAAGGTTGCTGTGAATCGATTTGAATTGGATTGTGACTATTATTATTCTCAGCTGAGGCCGGATCGGGTGCGTGGAGCGGCGGTGTGTGAGCGGAGCGCCCCCCGTGGTTCGGGATGCGCAGTGCGCTCCGCAGCTGACTGAGGACGCTGCAGCGTAAACAAGACGAGCCCGCAGCGCCGTGTCAAAGGTATTTTACTTCTGACCTTAAATGAGCGCGATGATGACCCCTGCGTGGGCTTCTCGGCGGGGAGCTGCTTCCACTGCGCAACGACTTCATTTCTGCAGCGGAGAATCTGCCTTTTTTTCTGCCTTCTTTTTTTGAATGAAACTGGACATCAACCAGTCACCACACCGCCAAACGCATCGCCGGATTACACCAGATGGACTTTGCCGTGGGGGAAGTATCGACTCTCCTTTTGAATCGGTCTAACGGCATGAGTAACCGGGACGCATCTGACGACACCGCTGCGTCCGGGCGCGCGACCCCGCCGCTCCGACCACCGAGCGACCGCGTGCCCTGCAACAAGACCGGCGTGTGCTCCCGCTCCTACTTCGTGGTGGTGATGGTGTTTTTTCACGTGTACATCATTAACGTCATAGCGCTGCTGTTTTACGTCCACTATAACAACGGGCAGGAAGATGCCAACCAGGGTCTCGATGCTCCGAGCAGAAACCACCCGCACGCCGAGTCCAGACCTCCGCCATCGAAGTCTGCGCCTCTGCGCGACGTTTCCCTAACGCGAATCGAGGGGATACGGGTGAGTAACGTGATGATTGCATCACTCCATGTTTTTTTTGTTTGACTTACACCCGGTGTCTCTCTAGGTGGGACACGTCCAGAAGGTGTCACTGGTGCCAAGCAAAGTGCATGAAATGAGGACTCTGAGTCTGAAACCGCTGCTGTTTGGTGAGAGCCTGAACACACCATTGCGTTGAAGCGCGCACACACACACACACACACACACACACACACACACACACACACACACACACACGAGGCCTGAGAGGCCAGAGAGACTTTGTCTTCTTCTGATGATGGAAGCATTCAACACACACTCGTCCTTGTTTTGATCACCACAACTGTCTCCCCCAAACACATGACCTAGTTTAAACATCATGCGCATGCTCAGGTCAATGGAGTCTACAGGGGAAAGGGTCAATAAGTCCTAAGGCCACTGCACCATTAAGGGCTCGGAGAAATAGGTCAGGACACAATTCAAAACGTACATGCAGTCATTAGATGTGCTTCAATAAAGATATTACAACCATGTACTTAATATAAAGCTCACAATATTTTTTTGTTTTTTGTCTTTGTAAGAAGCAATGTTTATGAGTGACTGGTTCAATGTTCATATAGTAACCCAAAGGCTTAACATGTACTTTCATGTAAAGCAAAGCAGCGCATAACTTAGTGGCTGAAAAAGCTTGTATTCAAGCTTTGGGGTGAAAACATTAATCATATATCATCAATCAAATATCAAAATAATTGAACAATTTTCTGTTGATTGACTAATTGATTAATTGACTCATCACTTTGCTTTCCTAAAGGAAGCGAGGAAGGATGAGGCTGCATGTTATGCAGCCCGTAAAGCCCCTTGAGGCAAATGTATGATGTTGGGTTGTATATATAAAATTCACTGGTCTTCTTGATAAAACTAAAATACAATATGACACGGTTGCACATCAGAACATGGGAAGCCCGCAGCAGAGAAAGACATTAGACTCACTGTCCATACGTGTTTTCCTGCAGAGATCCCAGGGTTTTTGTCCGAGGATGAGTGCCGTGTGGTAATGCAGCTTGCGCAGCTAAAGGGCCTAATGGAGAGTCAGCTGATGGTGCAAGACGGCCAGGAGGAGCTGGCCAAGGAGCTCAACCTCAGCCCAGAGGAGATCTTCAACCTTCTGGATATCAACCAGGATGGACAATTACAGCTCCATGAGGTGTATGTCAGTTAGAGGATCATGAGCCTTTTTTTTACTTTACTACAGGATGAGTTGATTAACTCATCCTGTCTTGACTATCGTGTCCCCAATAGATACTGACTCATTCTCGAGTGAGGGACGGGATCTGGCTCACACCGGAGAATCTAAGAGAAATCTATGCTGGGCTCAAAGCTGACAAGGATGGTAATGGTAAGGAATCAACGTTGTCCCTTTGACTCAATACATCTATTTACAAAACTATTATTTTGAAACCAATTGCTGTTTCAATTAAAGTAGTTGTTAAACTTCTAGTAAAGTTTGTGAGTAGGTTTTCACAAAAATGGGTGAGCAGCGGTGCCGCTTGGGGGCGGGGGCGCTTAATACAATGGGTTAGGGTAAACATGAATTAAAGCTTACACAAGGCCTCAGAATCTGTCCGTCTCGTATTTTGGACAGATTTGCTGAGCCTAGACGAGTTTAAGCTTCTGAGCAATGATGCCTTCCAGCGCTTCCTGCTGCAGCGAGGCGTGAAGAGGAGTCAGCTGGTGAGGAACAGCAGACACACCTGGCTGTATCAGGGCAAAGGAGCACATCGGGTCCTCCGAGACATCAAGGCGAGGCAAGACACACCATCTCCTCATAGTGAAATACAAGTCGAAAGGACGCTTTTAATCTTTCCTTTCTTTATTTATTCTACTTTTTTTTTGTCACCTTTCTCCAACAAAGAGTGACTCGTCTCTCTCGGCTCCCGCCCGCATTGGTGGACCTCAGTGAGCCCCTCCAGGTGGTTCGCTATGAGGAAGGAGGACACTACCACGGCCACCACGACAGCGGCCCTGTGTATCCCGAAACCGCATGCACGCACACGCGCTCCGCGGCCAACACCTCCACTCCTTTTGAGACGTCTTGCAGGTGAGATCCCTGAGACGCACGGTGGCAGCAAGCAGCATTCAGCACACAGTTTGTGTGACTCAAAATTGTCAAGCTGTAAAAATGTGTGTGCTTACCTCTTGTTTGCTAATTGTTGTGTGCGTGTGTGTTTGCACCATACATGCACAGCATGTTCATTTAAATCTGTGTTGTACACCTAGGTACATTACAGTTCTCTTCTACCTGAACTCTGTCGAGGGGGGCGGGGAGACCGCGTTCCCTGTGGCAGACAACAGGACCTATGATGAAGTGGTGCGTAATTGGGTGTGGGTCTTTTAAATGTGGTAGTAGAGGCCTGCAAAAGTAACGTTTTTTTCATATCTGTGGTGAGACGTTTACGGTTAGAGCTTGTCAGTAGATGTCAGTAGATTAAATGTCTCGAGATCAGCCTGCATCACAGTGGTCGGCCGGTATTGCCGTCTCTTCACCTAACCAGCTACTTTGACCAAAAAACAATCATCTACAGCAGCAGTGTTCATGCCTGTATTAAATCACTTAATTGTCCGTGAGGTTCTGACCTCGATGTTGAGCAGATTGTAAGTTTGAGTGTTTTGTGTGTTAGTCTCTCATACAGAATAACGTTGATCTTTTGGACACCAGAAGGAATTGTGACAAGAGCAACCTGAAGGTGAAGCCTACCAAAGGCACAGCTGTGTTCTGGTACAACTACCTGTCTGATGGAAAAGGTAGGATTACTATTAAGATGCATGACATCAACTATCTTTCCATGACTATTTGTATAAAATCAATCCAGTACAGAGACGTTTCCAGTGAGAGCTCTGACTTCACATTTTAATCCCAATTCATTAAAATGGAGAGATGAGTCTGGATCGCAGTGGTAGGCCGATTCTGACGTTCCATAAACCAGCCAGCTGGCTTGACGGAAAACAAACATCTGAAATAGCAGTTTATTATAATATTTTATTCAAACGAAATTCATTTTAATAATTAGAATGCCATTTACATGTGTTGCAATGTAATGATAGCAATAATGATTTGAAGGTAATCCAGAAAGATAGCTGCCACTGTAGGAATACAGAACATTTACTGTATACGACAAGGAACTCAAAGTTTATTTCTGGCTCATTTAAACAAAGAAATACAGTTAAATGGTATTTGGGAGAATAACTAACTAACATATTACAGTTTTCCCATTGATTTGAGTGTGGTCTATAGTCAAAGCACATGGTGCCATGATGTGCAGGATGTTGCTAACAAACATAATTGTTTTTGCCCTACTAGGTTGGGTGGGAGAGCAGGATGAATATGCACTGCATGGAGGCTGCGTGGTCACCCGTGGCACTAAGTGGGTCGCAAATAAATGGATAAACATTGATCCAGATTACCAGCGGCAGGCTCGCTATCAGCAGCTGGTTTCACAGCAACCAGAGGATGAAGATGACGAAGGTTTTCCTTTGAACCCGGACCAACGTAGTTCTGACACCCATCAAGAATTGTAGTTCAGAAACCAAATGTATACACAAAAACAACTTTAAAATCTACCTAGTCTTCCTCAGTTGTACAACTTCATAGTGCAAGATCCTCTGCGTCAAGACAAGATTTATTCAGGGAATGAGGTCAGATTGAGTTTATGCAACTGTAAAGAGATGATTTTGTTAAATATTACTTAGATATTGTAATCTAGAGATGCAACAATACAGATATCTGTCTGGTACTGACTCAAATTCCTGGATCATCATCATTTTAGTACCTTAATATACATATATGTATTTATTTGTTACATTTTTTTATCAAAGTTAAGAAAGCAATGTTTGGGGCAGGTCGGATGTTGCTTTACACATTACACAAGACTGATCGCACAGTGAGGCATACAACTTATTGACTAAAACACTGGTATCCGTATGTTATTTTTGAATTTCCCATTTTAGTAACGTTGCACTAGAGACTTTAGTAATGTTGCACTAGAACAGTTGAGACAAAAAATATCCCTTTGCATGCATTAGCTTCACAGATTGTCTTTTTGTTGTTGCTATAAGCAGAAATTGCACTTAAAAATTGAAATGGCTACTGCAAACATTTTAATGTCCTACCTTGTTAATGCTGCCACTACCAAAAAAGGCTCACACTGTCTGTGTGATGCATGTTGTCTCGTATTTGTTCCTTGAATTATTTTCTAACAGATTCTTCTTGAAAGCTATTGTTGAGAGGTTTCATTTTATTACCTGTAATTTTCACTAAAAAGGCCCTTTATTGTCCTCCCACTTTGAATAAAGATACATTAAACTTATGTCTTCCTTTTTTAAAGATAAGATTTCTAATTATAAATAAAAGTCATCAATCGTCTTGTAGAGTTGGATGTGCCTTCGCTACAGTCTAAAATCCCGGCTCGGGTCTCCGCGTGTATGCAAGTCCAAAATTGCAGGTATTGTGATCGAAACAGCTCTTATTATTAACATCTATTATTTACAAATGAAATATTAGAAAGCTTTCTAATATTTGCCCAGTCAACGCTGAGATTGAGAGAGTCTTTCCACCATTAGTGCTTTGGTCAAAGTCTTTAAAGCTTTGTGCCGTCGTATGTGTCCTGAAATACAAAAAACGTTTTTAGATTCGGTTAAACTGAAATAATTAAAAGAAACGTTTGAGTTTTAGCATCGGACCGTCCAAAACACTCACCACTGAAGTCTCGTGTCGGGGAAGGGATGCTGCTCCACGGTGATCCAGACAGTAGAGCGCAGCGTCGTGAACGGAGGCAAAAAGATGCCTCTTGGTAACCGACTCGGAGAAGAAGTCACCAAGCTCTAACTGTTCCACCACGCAGGCTTCAGAGAGAAAATGTGTTTAAAGGCAAAAGAGACGACCACCGCAATCAGCCTTTGAACGAAGTCAAGGAAGAGATAAAGGATTCACTCACATTGACAACCAGCCAAGTAAACATCCACGTCAATTTTGCTGAAGTCCTGGAAAATCTGTCAATAATGTGATTACAGATTATCCATCCTCATAAATAAGTGACTTCAATGGCAAAACTATCCGTCATGTGCAACTAAAAGGTAATAAATTACCATTTCAGTGGCATCAGAACTTGCCAAGAATAAATTAAACTAAAAAGTACTCTCTGTGATGAAGATGAGTCATCTCTGCCTTTCTCATGAGAAAAATAGGAATAGTTTACTTCATTGTGTTTCTTATGTTAAATACTGTGTATCAATCCAAATAAACACAATTTCTCCCAAATTCACTTTTAAGCTTCTCAAATTTTGACACTTGGACGACGAAGAAAAAGGGAGTTCCTTTTAATAAAAAGGAAAAAGTGCTGAAAAGCTTCTTTTTTCACTGAGGTTATTTTCAGTCACGTTTTGCATTTCGTCGATGCGATATTTATCCCTGTTGTACTCACATTTTTCATGGTCTTGATAGCCACCGTATCGATGAAGTTAGCCGTGGAGAGGTCAATAATGATGGAGTGAATGTCCCAGGTCCACTTGCCCAGTGACCCGAGAGAGACGCGCTCCAGGTCGCGACTCAGCGTGTCCTCGCTGCTGGAGCCCAGAGTGGTGGTGTCTCCGTCCTGCAGCTCAGACATCCACCCCAGGCTGGTGCTGTCTGGCTCTCCTCCCTTCAGGTACTCCCATCTGCAGGGGCCGTCTGGCGTTTGAGGGCTAACCGGGACGACAAACACCGTGCCGTTCTCCCGCTCGGCCCGGCCCTGCTCCCCCTCATCGGTCACAATCCCGTCCACGCATGTGTCCCTCCAGCGGGTGGCCTCCTCCTCCACAGAGAACACCTGCGCTCCGGACGGCGGCTCACTGGCTCCGAGCGCCCGTCTCTCCAGAGTGGTGAGGAGAAAGAAATGATTTAATTGAAGTGAAGTACTACGGTACGCTGAGGGTTGGTGGCCTGGCCAATGGTCGTCTTCTGTAGTTCTATGCAGGCTCCCAGCAGGCCGTCTTCAGGCTACAACTCACTATGACTCCACCAAATAGAGGATCTGGTGACCAATAGGCCAAACCCCAGAAGAAATGATATGTTCCTTAAAATGTTTTGTACATTTTCAATAAACCATGGATTGTTCATAGGATACACACCTCTTTCTTGGCTTGCCTTTTTTCCCGCCGCTCAGCCCTCTTTTCTCTACGTCTCTGTTTGGCTTCCTGCCTCTTCTTATAGATAATCATTTTACTGATATCGAGCCCGCTCTAAAAGCAGATGGAGGAGAACAGTGAAACGTCTGCATCGTATGCAAATACAACAGGAAGCAATCATTGCTTTCGTAAAGAAGGAATTAGAAGAGGTTATTGATGGAAAAATCCATGTCAATTAACTGATTGATCAATTGGCAAATCCTTTTTCATGTGTCACCTTTTTTGTTAATGCCCTGTCAATGTTGACAGTTGAGTAAAACAATGTCTGTGATTCTCTCTTTCTGTGAGAAAGTTATTGCTTCAATTGACAAAGTAGACAAACGCACAATTTTTCCTTAAATGTTTTAGTCAGTTTTCACCAAAAAATGCTTAACATAATGTGGCATGTTTTCATTATTAATGAAAAAAACACGCATTGGTTTCTCTAGAGCAGAAGGTGTTACTGCGAGGGAGAACAAACCTTTTCTTTCAGAGCTTCGAGGTAGAGATCAGCGTTGGCAAAATATACTGTGGCTGAGGAGCGAAATATAGTAACACCTGGAATCTCTCTTGCCTGCCGAATAACAAAAAGACATTAGCTTTTTTTGCAAAGTGGGAAGCTGTAATGTAGGGTTTCCCTTTATTTCGGTCTCACCTCTCTGTGGGTCTCCATATCTACGTATAGTTCTGTACCTGGAACATTTCCCAGAACAGAGTATGTTGGCCTGAATGGAACAAAGTCGACATTATTATGTGTGAAAGATGGTTTTATACAGCGTGTTGTCTAATCTGGGTGTTTTTGCAGCCCAAAATCACTTACTTATATTTGCTCTCCATCACACACACGCACGCCCAAACACAGTGACCCCGATAATGAAATATACAATGTTGTGTTGCAGAGCAACAAGTCTTACATCTGCGTTCGGAAGATGACAGTCATCAGAGCAAAGATGATTGATGCTGCCAGACCCAGATCCAGATTGAGGAGCATGGTTGACACCCAAGTGACCAACCACACTACCTGGGGGATGCAGCATGACACCGCACATTCTTTAGTGTAATTATAAAAGATATTGATGCCATTTTACAGATTCACACCAAAGCAAATTCTGTCGCAGTCGGTGATTTGAAGTTGTTTTTTAAATTTCGTATTCGATTTCTCACCAGATCGATCTTGCTGCGCTTCCACAGTGTGACAATGTCAGAGTACTGCTTGAACATCCCCTTGAGATTTACCAAGACGATCACTGCGAGGACAGCCTGAAGCAAGCACACCCACGTTTGTACGTATGAATCAGATGTGCACACAGAAGTGTGAATGAGGCCAATAAAAAAATAAAAAAATCCATTGCATTACACAAAAACATGTCATTCATCATGAATATCTACTGCAAATCTACAGAAAACATTAGAAGAGTAGAAGAGGAACTGAACCGTTGGCAGCTCCTGGAACAGAGGTCCAAGTTTCAGTATGGTCACCAACACAATGAGAGCGGAGGCCACTCCAGCCATCTGCAGGAACAACACAAAGGTTCTTCTGGTTCTATTCAAATATTTATGCTAAACAGCCGTGTTAACGTATTCTCTAATGACGGACGTAATACATTTCTGATGAACAAACAAATATGTTTGTACATGGAATCAATATTTAGTACTAATCCAACAACTTTGAAGTTTGCTTTTCAATAATTCATACGTTTGATGTATAGTGTTCAGGTAAATGGGAAAATATCTCAATGTTCGGGTAGAGTATCGATAGCTAGAATCACACTGATTTACTGGTCTCCCTTCACACCCACGCACACATAGATAAATATTGCCACGTGGACTAGAGGAGCCCCGAGGCTTTTAATCCGAAGCATCTGTTTGACGACCCGGTGTGCCTTCCGAGCCACCGTCCCACATTTGATGGCCATGATATGGCCATGATGCACCCACAATATGTGTGGCGGATTCATGTGAGCAGTTGTTTGTTTTAAAATGTATATATTATTGTGTTCATGTCACGACACACTAACATAAATACATGTTCTAGTATTGTTAAATCAGGAAATCCCACATGATTCTTAAAAACATTCTGTGATTACGTTTTCTTCTGCGTCATTTCTTTGTTACCCTAAGTCGATCATATGCATTACATATTTTGAGTATAACTGCTGCATGTTCACTGAACGTGTGCGGCCATGCTGATGTAATGCTATTGCTTCTGCTGCTCGCTCACTTGTGTTTTTCCTCCGGTGGTCTCTTGGATGAGACTTCTAGACATGGAGGAGCAGACAGAGAAGCACTGGAAGAAACCTCCCACTGCGTTACTGAGACCCAGCGCCACCAGCTCCTGCAGGAGAGAGAAGAGGAATGCAGAAGTGTGACAAAGGCACTGAATCGACAGAGTTAAAAAGGGTCTTCAATGAGAGTCGTGGTTTACCTGGTTACTGTCCACATTGTATCCGTGTTTCAGTGCAAATGTTTTTCCCAGTGAAATAGAAATGGCGTATCCAACCATTGCCAATGCAAAAGCATCACCAATAACTTTTTTAAAAATACTTGTATCCGGTACACTGGGATAACTTAGACTGGTGCAAAGGTAGAGGAGAAGGAAATGAGTTAGGTATAAATCATCTGGGACTCAACAAATAATGATTGCAGTATAAATTGAGCCCCAATTCTTACCCATTAGGAATTTCTCCAACAACTGAAATAGTGAAGTTACGGTTCAAGTAGGTGTAGGTTGATATTAATGTCCCTGCCACAATCTAAAGCGTACAGATTATAAACACAGACACAAACAAAGTAAATTTTGACATGACATGGCAGACCTTCAATAATTACACATCCGGTGAATCATATGCTAGATTGAACCTAATTATTAGCCAAGAGCAGCTCCTTTTTGCTGTGAATTGCACAAATGCAGAGGCCGGGGCACGACTGCTGATTCAGCTGCTTGGCTCCACATGTCTGCTTTTTTTCCGATGTTGCAACATCAGCAGCAGCACAGAACACAGAGGTGACCTGAAGAGAGGCCAGAGAGTGTGTCCTTCTATCAACTGACTGTGATGAGCTCCATGGGGATGGGCACTGGCAACCTCGGGCTGAGGAAAGAGTTGAGCTCCTTGGCGGAGATTAGAAACACCATGGACACAGCACTGACACACAGTGTGGGGAGATGAGTGTGAGGCAGCAACAGGCACACGTCCCTCAGGGTCTGAAGATGAGGGAAGGAAAAGCTGGAGATGTGAAAGCTGCACCAAAACTATTGTTTTGTCATTTCCGGACAGAGTTCAGGTCATCAGATTACGTATCCAACATTGTTAACTTCTTCACAATTTATAATGTTCACTTAAATTAAAATAATCACACAATTTAGATCTCAGTTATTTAGAATCCTTTCTTTGCGTCCGGTATTCATCTATTGCACTGTGCTGTAACTTGTATTCTTATATTTAACTTTTCAGGTTGTACATTTCTAATCTATTCATACTTTATTGACTTTTCCTATTTGGGTCTTGAATTAACTTCTTTTAATCTTTTTTTTCTTTTGCACTTTGTATTGATGCTTTTGCTGATTTGTGTAAAGCACTTTGAATTGCCTTGTTGCAAAAATATAAATAACGTTGCCTTGCATTAAGAGAATCTCAACTGTCCTCTAAGTGTTGAGTATATGTGTGTACATGTGTGTTTAATGTAAGGGTCCTACATAATGATTTAATTGAAGCCAGATTAGGCTGGTTTATAATTTGTCAAATTAACTGGTATCAGGCACCAACGCACCATATTAAATAATGTTTCATGAGCATTATATTTAGTTTTAAGAATTCATGTTCCATCAATCTAGTTTCTCCATGGTTCTGTTTTGTAGTAACGAAATTATCGTTCTTTATATAATCTTGTAATACAGATAATGTATCTCAAGAGCTTATACTAATATAAGGTTAAATGAAAATGAACCCTGTGGAACTATCTTGTGAATGTTACTTCTTGACATGCTGACATCATCAGTGCTGATGTTTCAACAAAAATGCAGCAGTCGGAACCAAATGCTTGAAAGTACTCACATACACCAGTGAAAAGGCCCCGCTTGACCGACCTGGAGAAACTCCAAAGATGTGTTTGAGTTGTGCCACAACAGCATGGGCTGCAGCTGCTGTTGTGTAAGCCCTCACCATAGGTTCAGACAAGTATGTGCCCACAAATCCAAACTTTACCAAACCCAGAACCACCTGTGCAAATAAAGATGTATGGGGGTGAGTTTTGGCAGCTGTAACAACAGAATAAAACATTATGAGTTCTGCGAGATGCTGTTTGCAGACCTGAATAAGTCCTCCTAAGACAGTGGTAGCAGCCGCCACCTGCACCCTGTACAAGTCCCTGGCAGTTATGTCCACTTCGGCCGTGTTATTGGTCCCATTTGTTATGAGGAAATCTGTGTCTGGGGCAAGTCTCTCCGTCACACCACCCACCATGATGCTGAGCACGGTAAATGTACCTGAACAGGGTGAAAGATAGCAGCACATCATTACAGAGGACGTAATGGTCACACGGGTACAGTTACACCTTCTCTCTCCTTCTACTTGCCAATGGAGATGTGACGTGATGTTCCAAAAAAGAAGTAGATTAATGCTGGATAGAGGGACGTGTAGAGGCCAAACACAGGAGGTACAGACGCCAATAGTGCATATGCCAAACCTGTGAAAAACAGAAGAATGTTGCCTGTAGGTCCAAATGATACTTAGGGATGCTGTTGTAACTTTCTCACCCTCGTGTTATGGAATTCACGTATCAAAAAGGACTGTGATAAAATCTGACTTTTGTTTTTGTATTGTGGATATGAGTGTGACATGAGTGTTTTTGTACCTTGTGGCAGGTGCATTATGCCCACACTGATGCCAGAGATGAGGTCTGGCATGCCGTAGTCCCAGATCGAGTACTTGGGCAGCCAGTACAACACTGGCAGGCAGCTCAACACACTCCGTTTCAGTTTGGGTGCTGTACATCTGGAAGAGATTTGAAGGATACACTTTTATTTTTGTTGTTGTGCTTTAGCACAAGTTGACTTAATTGGTTGACTTTGACTAAAAGATCAGACCTGAACCATATTTACATCAAAGTTACAAGATTGAGTCCTACAATCTATCTTACCTTAAGGAGTCTTTAAGGGTTTCGGTGAGAGAAGGATGCGTATCAGAGTGTGTTTTTCTCTGCGTTACCTCCTCCAGTCTCTGCTCATCAAGCACTTCCCGCTCCACTCTGTATTTCCCAAGTCTGCGTGTGGAATCCATTGAGCTGAATCCGGCAATATCTGTGCAACTTGAAGAATTTTACTTTTAATATGCAGTAAAGGTGATGTATTCCAATTGTGTCACTACAAACGGTTCACCGAACTGTCAAGAGGGAAAACTGTATCTGTCCATCATAGGGCCTAATAGTTTATTATAGTCAGGACGTGGGCGGGGCATCTTCATGACAACGATGGCTGACCAGATAAGTGAAAGGATGTAATTATATTCTTAAAGTGGAAAAATATTAACTCTTTTTTTAGTGGATGTTTGACAAGTATTTTCCTCTTCTTACGGGTCTTTTTTTCCCATTCACTTGCAAAAGAAAAACTAATGGACCATGAAATGTCCCCTTAAGCTCAACATACATTGGACAAGTGAGTCACTTATGACAGCTACTTCTGAACGAGATAACATTTTTAAAAATTAACCTACTAGCGGTCAGTTAATATCTAACACAATGGTCGGAAGCCAGAAAGTAAAATATATAATTACATTTAGCATACAACCTTTATATTTTTGGGGTTCAGCAGTCTCAGGGATTTGGCTTATTCTTCTTGAATAAGCTTCAAACGTGATGACTGGTGCTGGGCCTTTAAGAGGGTGCTGTAATGAAATCTGAATCCGAGCTAGACGTAATGTTTCATTTCAGTCATTCCAGAGCCGCACGCACGTGACCGAGGCAAACAAAGTGGACCAGATTATTACTTTAATCGCACAGTGCAACGTAAAGCTAATGAGCCCAAAAAGGAATCTCAAAACGATTCACGATATTTGTCTCTATCAGGGCTTAAAAACAGTCTCTCCTGATAACTCAAACCCTTCTGACCTACTTGTCGTATGCCGTAACACTGTCTATTTTGGGGTGGCAGCTCAGAGGGCCACAGCAGTGGGGGGGGGGGGGGGGTTGCATATCTTTGTCTTTTGCAAGAGCTGAGACCCTCTCTAACTCCCCGGGCTGACACATTCGGTAACATCAACAACTCATGAAAACCTGGATATTCACCTTTCTTTTCAGACCAGGAGAGAGAAGCTGGGGACTATGGTGAGGATTTTACAAGTGAATGCTGTATGCCAAACTTATTCCAGTGTAATAGCCAAAGCTAATTAGATATTCTGCTTGGATGTGAGGTTCATAGAAATGTGCTTCCAGGTTTTTACCAAAGCTATTTATGTTTGTTTTTTTAACACTTCATTATTATTGTCTGGTTAAAATCTTTGAAAAATCATCTTCAGGATACCAAGATTACCAAATTAGCATTAATAAAGAGTTGCTCTGTTTGTGATTTATTTGTTTTTACAGAAACACCATCTTCCCCAGTTTTTCAGAGTGCATAAAACTTCCTGAGTATCTTCATAAAAATCATTGTTTCCAAAAAAAAACAAACAGTTGAGGCAAAATGGATCTTAAGACCAAACATGGGCTGGTGCTGCTCGACCAGCTGAGGAAGATGAGGGACGGTGAGCATCTGACAGATGTGGTGCTTGTTGCTGAGGGCATCAGCTTTCCATGTCATCGGGTGGTTCTGTCCTCTTTCAGCCCGTACTTCCGTGTGATGTTTACATGCGGCCTGCGTGAGTGCAACAACAGAGAGATAATCCTGCATGACACCCCTGCAGACAGCCTGGCCCTCCTCTTGAACTACATGTACTGCTCTGATCTTCCTCTCACTAACGCCAATGTACAGGGCATCTCCATTGCAGCGTTTCTCCTGCAGATGGACGACGTCTTCACTCGCTGCCAGCTGCACATGACTGAGAACATGGACGCCTCCAACTGCCTTGGCGTGTATTACTTTGCACGCGACCTCGGCTCGGAGGAATTGGCGGACCATGCCCAGCGCTTCCTGCGGCAGAACTTTGTTCAGGTCTGCCAAAATGAGGAGGTCCTGGAGTTGGAGGCCCATCAGCTGGGAAAGCTCCTGGCCTCTGATGACCTTAATGTTTCACAAGAAGAAACAATCCTGGATGTTGTCCTACGCTGGGTCAAGCACAGTCCTCTGATGGACGGAGAGGTCCGTTTTCTGCACCTTCCAGAGCTGCTGAGGAAGGTCCGTCTGCCGCTGATAAAGGCTGACGTTTTGAGAGAGGCAATGAAGAGAAACACAGCCCTGCTGGCAGATGCGGAATGTCTAGAGATTCTCAACCAAGCCTTGGAGGCCACAGCGATGCATCCCTCCGCCGCACCGCGCAGACTAAAGCTGCGGTACGGCATGGAGACCACGGATCTGCTGCTCTGTGTTGGAAACGACGGCGGCGGGATCAGGTCAAGATACGGCAACTACACCGAGCGCAGCTTTTGCTACGCCCCGTTCACGGGCCGGATCTACTACATCACCTCACCTCGCTACGCAGAGGCTCTGGGGTATGTGTGCGCTGGAGTTGTAACAGAAAGAAATGACATTATAGTGGCAGGAGAGGTGGGGCAACGAAGAATGGCCCGACCGAAGGACGCGAACGTTGAGATCTACAGGTAAGATGTAAGGTGGCACACTTGATAAACTATGTATTTGTCCGCACAGCGATGGCACTCATTGGTATCTTGGGTTGCCAGGTACAGAGTAGAGGCCCAAGGAAGCTGGGAGTGCCTGACGTCGGCTGAATATCGTGATTCATACGCTCTGGGGTCACTTGGGGATACTTTGTACCTGCTGGGCGGGCAGATGAAGCTGAAGAACCAGTTTCTCATCACTAACTGTGTGGAGCGGTGGTCTCTGCAAGGAGGACCCTGGCGGAGTGCGGCACCGCTGCCGATACCTTTGGCCTATCACAGCGTGGTCAAGATGAAAGATTGCCTTTATGTTATGGGTGGTAGAACCCCACAGGTGATGTCAAAACGTACGCTACCAGTCAAGGGTTTGGACACACTTTCTCCTTGAATTGAACGAGAAAATGTAGGCAAACGTTTGACCGGTAATGTATTTATATGTGTTAACTTAAGAAATTACTTTTTTTACACATAATTGCAGTGGTCAGTGTGTGTATGCGCCGCTTTGTGACACCGTCTCCCCCCTTCAACCATCCAGTCTTACCGGATGGATGATGAGCCCGACCGCCTCAGTAACCGCCTCCTGGAGTATGACCCCAACACAAATAAGTGGAAAGAGCTGAGCCCAATGAAGTACTCAAAGTACCGCTGCAGTGCTGTCGTACTCAATGGCGAAATTTTTGTGATGGGTAATATTATTTTTTTATGCATACATTTTGATGATCCTGCTGCTAAATTGAGCCGTGTTGATTCCTGTCACTGGTTGTTTTAAAAAGGAATTCATATGTTTTAATACGTTAAGTATTGTATATTTTATATACATGTGTATATATACACTTTGCAGGGGGTATTGGGTGCGAGGGTGTGGATTGCGGACAATCACGCCGCTGCCTCGATGCTGTAGAGATCTACAACCCAGATGGAGATAATTGGAGGGACGGACCTCCTCTGCCATCTGCACAGCTCTCACTCCGCACCAACGCCTCAAATGCCGGAGTGGTTGGAGGCAAGATCTACGTGTGCGGATACTACAAAGGAGCAGGTAATGAATGAAGGGTTGTCTCCAATCAAATGAGACTAAACGATGACTCCAAGGGACTAAAATGGCCCATTGTTATTTTATTTTTTTCCACCTATCTTCAGATCGTCACGATGACATAACAAAGGAGATTTTGGAGCTGGATCCATTGGAGAACCGGTGGACTGTGGTGGCTCGACACGCTCTGATGCATGACAACTATGACGTCTGTTTAGTGGCAAGTCTGAACCCAAGGGGACTTCTGTCCCCAAGTGCAGATCTGGTTAAACAGTGACACCCCTGTCAGATCAAGTCAAAGTGCGTGCAAGATAATTAGCAAAGGAAATTAATTATCAATGAAGTTATTGCTGGCTCAAAGGCACTTTTTTTCTTTGAGCAAACGTTTTCACGGCCCTCCGTTAAAGAGGATGCGTGGATAGCAATTTGCACGTCGCTATGGGTGATTCTGATGCGAGTGAGAAGAGAAAGATCATTAGGAATCACAGCATTTGCTATTTTTAATCTTAAATATCTGCGGTGATTGATTGTGGGAATTCTGTGACCGTGTGGCACGAAGCATTATCGGCCACAAAATTAAATTTCTTTTGACATTAACTAGACATTAGACCAGTTAGAAATAGAGCTACAATTTGTTGATTGCTTAAAAGAATTGGCATCAATGTTTACGTCGAGCAAACAATGTGTTGAGCTCTTCGAAACAAACACACTGAAAACTTTACAGTGGTCAAACAAAAATGAGAGGGATTTGTTGACATTTCTTTTACTAAAAAACCCCAATTATGTGGACAGTATATGCTGGCAAAGTATGATTAATCTACTATAGGGTAAAAACTTAAAAATCGTTACAATGAATAAAACATTTTATAAGTCAAATGCTGTTTTTGTGGAATATAAAATGTTTTCTGCCAATAAAAATGCACCTTAATATTTATGGAGCATGGGTGTTTATTTGAAAACAAGCAAAACAAAAAAATTAAATTGTAGGAGTACAGAATAAATATATAAAATGTAAACAGTAAACAATGTTTTTCTTTTTACATTACCTCAATAACTTGTGTATAAATATATTATTGTATGCGAAGGTCAACGTTAGTCAATGAACTGAACACTACAACCAAAATAGGCCATAAGCCATCGTTAAAAATCACAAATACCTCAATAACTTGAATATAAATATATTAATGTTATTCATCAAAGAGCGGAGTAACGCAAGAACCAAAATAAAAATAAAAGCTTTCTGGCTTTTACTCCAAACTTACAGATGGGTCACTGTTGATTCCTTTACTCTAAAGGCCTAAATCAAAATCAAAATCGAACAACTGCCAGAGGCCTTCCGGCGTCTCTGGGATCCTTCTCTTGGACTCCGATGAGAGCTTCTCCAAAATTGGTTCGAAACCTGCGGTGCACTCGGGGCTGTTGCTTTCCTGAGACCAGCAGCTGAGCGGGGTTATGAAACACCCCGTCGCTATGGATTCCATCTCCGCGTTTGGCATTTGGAGACAGTCTGGGTTGTCACTCTCTGCGCTGGTTACCGCGTTCGGATGCTGACACTCATCGAGAATTGTTGAAACATTTTGTTGTCGGTCGCAGCTCTCGAGAGGGTTGCGGTTTTCCTTCGTATCAGTGCACCTACTCCTTTGTAAGGGCACCAACGGCGTCTTTTTGCGTTTGTTATGGCTCCGAAGAGAGGATTTCCTTTTGGCTGTGCATCTGGGAGGCTGAGGGGGAACTTCTGCCGTATTGTGTTCTGTGTTGTGTGACTTTTGTCTAAAGTGCGTTCCTTGAAGCTTGTTGTCTTGCAGGATGGTGGAGAACTGCTGCTGCAGCAGCTCTGGTGACGTCTGGATGGCATTGTCCGTCACTCTCTTGGGGCCGCATTTTGCTGAGTGCTCTGAGACTAATGTGCTGAGCAGCTTCAGAGCCTGTTCAAGCATGTTTCGTTCTCTCTCGTGCTCATCTCTCAGACTCTCAAGACTATTCTTCAAGCTTTGCAAATTGGAACCAAGTTCTGCTGTGGTCTCCGAACTCTAAAATGATCAAAAAAAATATACAAGTTTTGCATGTAACTAATCAAACCACCAAAATCGACTGGAACTAAAGCAATCCTTTCCAATTGATACATACTATTCACCTTTTGCGTAGTCTCCTCCACTCCAGTTATCCTCTCTTTTTGAGAGTTCACCGTAGTCAATAAAGTCTCAAACTGCAGGGAAATATCACCCTGAAGACTGCTCAAATGATTTTGCACTGGGATGGATGAAAAAATAGAAAAGTGCTTATATAACAAATATAGAGTCATGGTTAACATTTTTTTTTAAAGTATGGAACTGTGTAAAATGTCCAAATTAAAAGGAAATGATGGGTATGCAATGCTCAATAATTGTGACAACAGCATCCTCTACAGGCAATAATAAATGTTTGCTCATGGCAATTTGTTCCTTAATTATCTAGATCTTCAGAGGGTAAAGTTCAATCATTCAAACTAAAAACACATTTGACCAGATTAAAAGACTTACATGTTGAGACGAAGTTGTCAAATTTTGTAAGCACCGGTTGACACACAGCAGTGTTTCTCTCTGTGCTAACAAGTAGCTGTTGGATCTGGAAAACACAGCAGTATTTTCATGAAACTACAATAAATCATTATCAATCATTTGTAATCCAAAAAGCAACAGAATGGATGCTTATCACTTACATTGTTGAGTGTTTCTCGAAAATTATTACGCTCTTTGGCAAACACTTCCCTGTTAAAAGCAAAGGACAGATATAAAAACGTCAGAGTGATTAGCCCTACTTTTTCTTTTAAGTAATGCACACGTATAAATTCAAAGTCAGGAGAATATTTAAGCCGAACCCATCCGTTTTTTCTTTCGCCCGTCTCTTCTCGTCTTCAAATTGATCCAGTATTCCAAAAGCTTTGGACTTAAATTCTCCAAACAGGAGAGGTTTAGTGGGATAATTGCTGGAAAACTTTGAGTCACTTCCCTAAATTAAAAAATAATATTGTACGGAGTTGTTGATTAGACAGAACCAGTATTCACATAATCTGAGAGATAAACAAAACGACAATCAGTTTTTCATATTATGGTTAGTGTTATCCCCCAAAACATGTAGGCACAGAACCAAATCCACTGCAATCAATCATCAGGCCCTTTGATGTGGACTAAAGTCTCACAATAATGTGGAATACACTTGAATGTCACTATGTATGACGTGCCTAAAAATAACACGCTTTCCATAGATATGCACCATAGATAATCCATTGATGCACTCACAGACGTTGCATCAAATGGTAAAATAAAGTTGATAAAGCTCACCTCTTGTGAACTTTGTTGGGAGGTCCTGGATGACAAACTCATATCTTGAGACAGGCCTTGAGAGTTTTCCGGCCAAAACTGGGATCCGAAGAGAAACTGGGAGTCTGTGAAGCTGGAGTGGCCGCTGTTTGCCACGTTTCTGTGGAGAGTTTTATCGCTGCAAGGTGTGAGGAGTAAGCGAGGCAAAACATAACAGGTGTGTGTGGAAATCTGGTAAACACATCGATTCGGACGTAAAACGTTGTACTACATATGTGGGGCGATTTTCAGAGCGCTGTGGATCGCAGCTCAATTTAAAAATGATGCACTTTAAAAGTTAAATTAATGACGTTAGCTAATGCTAAGTGTCATTGCAAAGTAGCACATTCAAGCTAACGAACGCTAACGGTAGTTTACCTGCTTCCGGTTGGGATGCCCAGCATCTCCTTAATGTTCCTCGAATGATTCATCGCCTGTTCGTAAAAACAACGAGTTAGTAGTAATTGTAGCAGGCAATACCGTCGGGCATCGTTCATTCACCAACGGGCAGAAATGTCAGCGTCGTTGGAGCCAACGTTAAACTAGCGTTAGCGTTACTTAACATTAGATTGTAGCTAATCACTTCTCTCGCTGACTTAAAATAACATGGAGTCAATTAAAAGCTACGATAAACTGCTGAGCTAGAACATATCCATATACCGTATTCGTCGGAAGTCTTGCGTTGATGGGGGTCTTTGATTCAATAGCGTTGCACGGCGTGGACTAAACAGGCAGAAACCTCGCGAGGATTTGAATCTCCCGCCGTGTGACCGTCCAGTTCCACGCGAGGCCCGCCGGCTTCACTTGAGGTCTAAAGTCATTTAGTTATTTAGTCAGTCAGTCAATCGTTTAGTTGATTAGCTAGTTACCCAGTAACAGTTTTGTAACAGTATTGTTCACATCGTAGAAAATTGTCCTTTGGTTTATTACATTGTGGTAAAAACAATACAGGATCACTGATGAAATAGAACAATAATAAAAAGGAGGATTATTCATTAAGTGTAGGTTTTAATGCTGGATAATTCATCTGGTACTACAGAAGACTATATGCCCCTTAAAAGCATGACACTCTTTACTCTGGTTAACTGTGTGTATTGGACATCAACTAAGCCAGGACCCATAGTTGTTTTTGATTATATTATAATACAATTAAAACACATGTAGCATCATGCATAGTAATGCTGGCTGCAATTCGATTTGACTGGCAGCTTGACAAAAGGTTAAATACACAATGCACATATGTTTCAGGGAGGGTGTCAGGGGGGCCCAATAGCTACAACACATTTTTCCTTGGGCATTGTAACGGCCAATATAATTAAAGGTTTGCTGAATTCCATTGAGGTGCAGTGACAATAACCACATAGACGAACTGCCCACACAATGGATTCATAATTATTATAAATTCCAACGGCATCTTTTCTTGCTTTTAATGTTTTAATGTTGTATTATTTATCATATAAGAGGTTTCCTACTTTGTTACTGTAGTGAACCTTTCTTGAAATATGTTTGATAATGACAATAATAAATATATTTATCAGGAATCAGGAAACATTTATTACCAAAATATGTCAAACATACAGGGAATTTGTCTTAAGTTATAATAGCAGCAGTAGTTATTATCGTATATTTAAATACTATTTTATCTTTGTATATATTTAATATGTGTTACTAAGCAGAAAGTAGGCCAAAATTGATGAAACAGGAACACATCCGAGGCTTTTCTTTTGAAAAGTTGTACCCGGAAGTGTCCACGCTAAATGATTTGAATGCAGGTAGCTATGAGCCACGCACCGTATCGCATTCTGTGGCTGAACTACGGAGGCGTGTTGATAACAAATAGGCCAAAATTATAGGTGACTTTCCTGTTAAAACCTCCGCAGCGGAACCCGACCCGACGTGGGTTTAACCGCGGAGTTTGGTCTGGCCAAAGCCTGGTGCCCCGGCGGGTGAGTTAACTTTTTTTGTGACGAGCAGCTGCTCAAGTCTGCGATTGTTAATGTACCCAATATTGTTAAACGGGTTTAAAGAGCAGAGCACACCTGCCTCTATAACGCTTACATCATTATTTAAACGGCTTTGACTGCCGACACAAACGCGTCTCGACTTCCCCCCCCCCGGTGACAGGTGCTAGCTCGCCGAACACCTCGGTCGCATAGAGGCGTTCGGCGAGCTAACGTCAACGTCAGCGCTCCTCCATATCGAAGAGGCCTCGCATTAACACAGTAAACATGCGACGCTCTGGATCTCAGTGCTGGTTTGCTTCGTACGTGAGTGAAAAGGACTCATTGTTCACGGGGACGTCGCCCCTCTGTAGCTGTGCGGCGCGCGCCAGGCAGGTGTCGGCACGGTGCCGTCGAGGAGCGCGAGCGAGCGCTGTTGCCACGAGTCGCGACAGTTCAGCTGCCGCAAATCGATTTAAGAAAAGGAGTTGAGAGGAACATGAGCCGTTTCATGCTAAAAATGCCTACATTTCTCAAAACGAGTCCAATAAAAACGACGAATCTGAGTGGAACACGTATCTCTTGATATTATATAACACGTGTATGCAATCATATTAATAATGGAGTAGCCTGTATAAAAAGTCTTTAGTAATATCATGTTATACTGACATTACCGCCACTGTTTTACTTTGAGGAGACTAGAACTGGAATTATTTTACCCCCGCGTTAAACATTAAGAATGACAGCAACCGTTTTACACCTTCTGTATTCTTCCACTAAATGTTTTTCCTGTTTTGGTTGAGTATCAGGAGTATGCTAAGTGATCATGCTGTATGTTAAAATCACATGTGCTCCCTATGTTTAACCTACAATTTGCCTCGTCAGTGTCATCGACGTGTATCTAACTCTAGTCTTTCTTTCTTTCTGTTGAAGGGTTGAATATGGCTCTGTCATTCCTTTTTGTCTTTGCTGCAACTGTGATTCTTATCAGACCTGAGACACCTGTAACTAAGGTAAAATGTTACTGAGCGAAATAGCCAACGTGTGCTTTGTTTGTGATACTCTCATTTGTTTATCGCTGAATGATGTTTCGTCTGTAGGCTTTACATCAGAACTCCCTTGAGTGTTGTGGCGAGAAACCGAGCGCGAACAGCTCATGTTCCAATGACAGCCACTGTGAACCAGGTAATGTGGATGATTCCTATTAGCTCTGATTTGAATTCAAAGAATATGTAAAAAGATTATTCATTGCAGTGTTTACTTCTTTCCTTGAATAGAATGTAAAATACAGTGTGCACTTAATAATTTGTTTGTATCCGAGTGTCTGAAGAAAAAAATGTGAAATATGTTCTTGTTTTGATTCGATTCCATAAGGATGCTTTCTGCGTTTCCTTGAGAACAGCAACAGTGTTTGCATATTTTGTAATGCAACAGCTGTGGATTTGGAGAACAGAACAGTCTGCACCTACAGTAAGGACAGAACTCTGTTGTTTTAATTAAACAAAAACCTCAATCTTACTATTTTTTAGTTTTTAAATTATCCCCCTTTGTGTTCACCCCAGACTATACAGTGGAGAGGAGAAACCTCACAACCGTAACTACCGTCACTCCTAAAATTGGTAAGCTATCAAATCCAGTCGCTTGTAACTGATTTACACATTTTATTACCAATAGAATTTCTTCTCTCTTGGCTTTAATGTTTCTATGAGTTTCAATTATTAGAAAATTATTTTTGAGCTAATGTGTATGAAATATCAATCAAACAACTTTAAAGGCTAATCAGTCATTAGTTTGAAATTTAAAGTTCAATAATATAGCATTACCCCTTTCCATGGGTAAAACTCTTTGTATGATGGCTGGTGAGATAATCGGCACGTTTGTCACCACTGCCTGTCTGTTGTGCGATGTTTCTGAGCAGGCGGGCCAGGTGTGGCTGCTTCTCTACTTCTTGGAACTCTGTTGATCAGCCTGTTCCTGATCCTCTCTGTTGCCTCCTTTTTCTACATCAAACGCTCCAACCGACTCCCGAGCATTTTTTACCGCCGCAACAAGGGTGAGCGCTTCAAAGCTGTGACACACTATAATTATACAAGCAGGGTTTCATCGACGGACCACACCCAGCAAATCCTTTTGTAATATAGCTTGGGAGTACAAAGAGAGCATGGAAACACAATATCAGTGCTCTGCCTTAGTGATTCATAACGAATCTTCAGTCAAATAAATCCAAATGTAACAATAATATTTTGTGCATTTGCAGCCTTCATATTCCAACCAAGTGAGACTGTAAGTTAATTGCACTTTTTAGAAAACTTCAGCAAACACATTCTTTGTGTGTGTGTCTCAAATGAATGGTTCTAATTTATATTTTTGTTTTCCCTGCTAGGCTGTCATGATCCCCTCCTCGACAGGTAAGTCGATTTCTCGATCTTATCCGTAGATTACCTGTTTTGAAATGTGACTCTCCCTTTGCTGAACCGGTTGTAAGATTTGGTAATGCAAAGCAGTCAAAACATCACATAAAAGAATTGGTCAACATTGGTAAGAAGTGTTACATATTTGAGGCCTGTTGTAGAAATGGCCGGCCTCTATTCACAAAAATAGGTGCATACGAACAGAAAACATGCTAACTGTTAGCTCAAACATGCTACGTAGTGCGATTCCAGTGCATGTCTCTTCTTGATCTTCCTTTGCAGATTATATGTTTTCTTTTTTTTCTTCCTTTTTTGAAGTGCGGAAGCCTAGATATGTCAGAAGGGAGCGGCCCATTGCAACACTAAATAGTGCCACCGTACCCACTACATCCACCACCTAGGTCCATAATGTGTAGGAGGAGGAGGAAGAGGAGGAGGAGGGCCGGTGCAGAGAGAACGCTCAGGAAAGCTGTTTTTGATTTGTCACGTGAAGGTCTGTTTCAGTGAATGCCATATTTAACTGTAGCTGCTTTGGCTGCACTGTTGTCACGAGGGCTGTTTCTTTTTCTCTAATTAACAAGCCGAGTGTTATATTGTAGTTTCCACCTGTCAGTCGTCACATTCACTGATTAACTGAATCCGAATTTTATGCCTTTGGACTGAGGCTATCACCACCCCACCTCCCTTCTTCCCCCTCTGCCCCTTTCCAGTCTTAATGATAAGCTTAGCTAAAGCCATGTTTTTTACAGATCTGAGAGTGCTAATTATCTTATTTATTTTGCTGCAGAAAAATGTAAAAGCAGCATATTTCTTACTATTCCTTTTAATGCAAACATTAATAGTGACTGTGCTCAAGGTGGGGAGCGGTGATCTGTTTGGGGGGGACAAAGTGACGGCCCTGTGACATTTGATGGAGGCTTGTTTTTTCTAAATAGGATGATATTTAGATGCGTGATATTTATTTACATTTTGTATCCGTGCATTGAGCTTTACTGAATACAGTCAGACCAACAGAATAAATTATGTGTCGTATAGTAGAGTTGCTCTGATGGGCTGGGATAATTTGGGGAGAGTGCTTTGGGTGCTTTATGTATGATTGTTTGATTTCTTTTTGTTTTTAACTGTGGCATTTGCATTGTTTGCTCGCCTAACCAAGGTGAATGTATTACACAAATCATGCATCGCAGCTGCATAAATCATGAATCTACAGCTGACGTAGTCAGACATGAAAGAGGTGACTGTCTTCTCAACAGAAAAATCATTGTTTTCATAGGAAGGTCTCGGGCTGGACAAAACTTTTTTTTAAATACCAATTTATCTCCTTAAAGTCCAATAGATTTTTCTCTAATGAATGAATGCTTGTGCACTTTATTTGTCAGAGGTCATCAGCTAATGGTGGACCCCGTTTTTATTTTCAAACGACGAAGTGTGATTGATATTTTTGTGTTGTTGTATAGATGGCATTGTTGTTGCACTGAAATTGTCTTGACTACTATTAACCTTTGCCAAATGTCTGAAGAAATATTTTACTGCGTGCAATTACTGTGATTACGGTGCCATTTTGAGCTTTAAAAGCAGCTAGGAAACTTTTAGTCATGATGTGGTGAGTAAGTGGGGTATTTGAATTATATCCAGTGGCCTTTATATTTACTGTAAACAACTTTTAAATAAGTGTCCAAGTTGAATTTGTTGCGTGCTATTTAATTTTCATGTAGTTTTATACTTTGACAACAATGAGGCTGTAAAGTAATTTCCTCATTCTGTATGTGTAAAACAACATGAAGTGAACAAGATAAAAAGCCAGCCATCATTCCATAAAAAGTCCTTTTTGCATAATGTGTTTGCTGTTGTACAAACAGCCATACGCTGAAGACATGTACATATTCTTTTTTTTTTTTTTTATAAATGATGTATTGTTTTTGTAACTAATGCACATATTCTAGTTTTAATGCCATGAAGATGTATGTAATGTTTGGAGAAATAAAGCACCTTTCCATTACCATTTATTTCTCCTTGTGCAGTCATATGACCTCTACTACCAGCTACTGCTACTTAGCTGCTTCTCAGCTGAAATTTAAATTTTGCTCAAAGAAACTGAAGAATTTAATGTGTGTGTTCACACTGGCTGTCTCAAATGACCTTGAATAGAGGTTGTTTATGTTCATTCTTTAGCTTTATTGCTTTATCATAAAGCACCTTTTTGTGTCATTTTAAATAAATGCACTATATATAAAAAATGTGCGATGTGTCCTTTCATCATGTAAACAATGGAATTGGTTTTCAATCTTAACTGTACGGTTGCTTGTATTTGAAGGTGGTGAAATGTCATACCTCTGGTAATAGAGGGACAGACGTTTGCAGCTACATGTGACTGGACATACTGCTCTATTTATAGAGTGCGAGGCCCCGGTGAGACGTATGCAAGGACAGACAGACGTCACAGCCGAAATGTCCCATAAGGGAGAAAACCCCTTCAAACTGGACACTTTGTCATTCAAAACTAAAGGTAGGGGATCTTTCTGCTGCAGAAACGCTAACAATAATGTATTGTACTTTACGCTCGTGTTGGTTGTGCTGATATGTAATGTAATACTAACGGAATAGACAAGACCTTTACTGACTTTGAAGTGGAGCAGTTGAGGGGCAACACTCCACCTCTGAAAAATAAAGAAAAACACCGCACTTCTAAAAACTACTATAGACTTATTTCAGTAATAACTGATTTGCTGTAACTTTCAGTATGGTGATATTTAAATATTTATATGATATTGCATCAACGAACGTCACGGAGTATGTTTGCCAAGATCATCCAGTATGTTGTTTCCTGACATTGGACGTCTGAATTTCTCACGTCAGGTGATATGATCAGAGTTTTTCCGAGGTTTGTTATTGGTCGCGTGGTCCCGATACTCTACCGCTGCTTTACTTCCTTCTGAACAGTTTTCCTAATGACGGCTGATTACATGCAATGCTAAGCTGCAGATAAACACTGTCTATTAAACTCAAATGTGTCGATGGAACTTCAACCACAGGTGAAACAAAGGACGAACTGCTACACATTAAATAAAGGCACTTTCATTATTTTTCATGCAAAATACTTTTTTTTTCTTTCAGATTGAGGAGCATGCGATGTGTCAAAATGGACGATTTAGATCACAGCATGCACATCGCAGAGTGCGACTGGACGGTCTTCTACGAGGAGAGTGAGGAGTGCAGTCTGCCTCAAGCATCTCTCGCCTGCCACGAAAGCTCAAATCTCAGTGATTCAGAGGATTCAGTCTTCAGCGCCGGCCGAAAGGGGCCCCAGCAGAACTCTGCTGCAAACAGGGATGAAGTTGGAAGCAGCGCTGCAGGATGCTGCATAGAGGAAAAGAACTACTCAGGTTGTGTAAAGTACATGTCAAGGCACGTTCAGAGCGGTACAGCAGCAGCAGGAGGAGATGATCTCACACCAAAAGCCGAGATGTATCTTGATCCGTCTGTAGGAGCCGCCATCGACGCGGCGGAGCACGTGGCCAAAGACCCAGATGACAACATCACAACCACCGTGCAAAGTGAGCAAGGGAATGTTCAGCATTCGGATGAAGAACCATCGGAGCCGAAAGGAGGAGATGGAGACGTGCAAATGGAGAGCGACGTTTGTGTAGTCAAGAAACGTGACCCACTTTCCGGCAACCGAGCAGCGATGAATGTGAAGGAAGCGCACGCGTCAGACAGAGCCGTGGGTGAGGATGGGATTGGCGACGCTTTAAGGGGAGAAAAAGAGCGCTGGTTCGTGACCGTGAATGTCAGTTCTGCACCACAGCGGCTGCGTGCAGTAAAAAAAAAACGAAGACAAAAAAGAAGTCTTAAGGACAACAACATGCGCAGGCCGGGACAGGACAGATCACTTGAACACGGGTTAAAGTTACAGGTAATGAAAGAAAATAATGAGTTTGAGGCAGGGGCCGACCCACAGGGTGTCACAACAGAAAACCAAACACAGGTGAAAAAATCTGGAGGGTGTCCAATCGCTGAAGATGATCCACACAGCACCCACAGGGGAATCCTTTCAGACGCATCACAAACGCCTTTGACCTCTGGTGAAGAAGACAGTTTGTCCAAAGAACTGGTGCCACCTCCTTTCCCCGAACGCAGCCTCAGTGAGCCGATGACCAACGCGGATGACGTGGAGTCTGACGAGTTCGAGGACGTTGTTGACTTCTCCTCCACGCACAGTTCTGACTCTGAAAGCTATCTGTCCGCTGCTGAATCACTAGAGGAACTTGTTACGGATCAACGGCATTTGCGCGGCTCCTTATCTCTGACGGAAAACAAAAATCTGTCCAATCTCACCGAGAATAGCGACGCAGACACCGCGCGGGCCGGCCAAGTGCATTCCTGTGATAGCAGTTTAACAGGTACCAACCCCGAAGGTCACCAAAGGGCCGATCCCTCCCCGACATTCCCGTCCGCAGGCCAAAGTGTTGACAAAGTGCCAGGTGAACACGGCGCACCCGGCGTGCTGCCCGCGGATGCACGTGCACCCCCAAAACAGGCAACGAGTCATTCGCCATCCGGTTGCTCTTCGGGAGATTGTCTTTTCTCTGTTCCCGGTGTAACGGTCACGCCTTGCTCTGCGGCCGACAGCCCTGAGACGCAGGCCGAGGCCGCGGGCCACAATCCCGGGCACGTCTACGCCATTTCTGCCTTTTGGGATGAAATGGAAAAGTTGACGATAAATGACATTTTGCAGCTCCGGATGGGTAGCAGAGGGAGCCCTCAAATGGAGCGTCTCAGCCCTCTGGACGACGCTGGGGAGCACAATCTGTGTGACGGCGGTCTGACGGACGCGTCCGACACCGCCGACTCAGACTATTTCACGCAGCCCGACGAACCCAAGGCCGACCGCTCAAGCTGGGACTTTTCTACCTCCGATGCCGAGGAGGAATACTCGAGCGGGAACCCCAGTCCTGACCACAAAAGCCCAAAACAACAAAGCACTGGTGACACTCCGATCCTCGCGTGTGAGGAAGAGGAGTCCACAAGCTCTGAGGGAAAAGAGACAATTGTGCCTTCAGAAGACAATGCAAGGAAGTGTCCAGAGGATCACGACTCAAATGCCTTCATCTCAAGCCAGCTCTCACGCCAAATAAGACAAATATCAAAAAGCAGAAGCATGCAAAACGTACAAGCTCTCAACACGGAGGATTTATCTTTGCAGCTGCTTCTCGGTAATGACGAGAGCAGTCGGTTTTCTGGGGAAAAGGGTTTTTTAAAAGCAAGCAACAGCTTATTAGCACCGATACCTGCGCCTTTTATGGGTGAACATTATGAAATCGTCTCCCCTGAAGTGTTTCAGGACTCTTTCAGAGAGGCTGAGACAGAGAGTGACTTCCGCTGTGTCACCGTGTATGAGCCAGAGGACGCCTCGCTTCCTCCCGTGATTGACTTTCCTCTTTGGACATTCAGGGATGAAATGCCGTTCTTTTCCCTCCACGATTTCCAGCGCGGCGATGAAAAACCCATCCCCATTTTCTCCTCTTCTCATCCCACCGTGAGAGAACTCGCATTCCCAAATGCTCCCTGTGTATTCGTGAGTGCAGACCGCGAGGAGGACGACCACTTCTCTCCAATGAGACTCTTGTCTCGCTCTTTCATCCACGGCAGCGATTGTGGGGCAGCAGCTCCACACGGATTTTACATTTGGAAAAGTTTGATGGGGAAGACTTGCTTTCCAGACAAAGGTAGCGGCTGGCGCAGGACATCTGGCTCCTGGGCGTTTCCAGTCGAGGTTGAGAAGATGGCCATGAAGAGCGCGGATCCACCATTAACGGAGAGAAGAGCCTCTTCAGCTCCTTCTCAGCTGTTTGGAGAACTGGCCGTACAGCAGAGGGTTTGGGAAGCTTTCAGGACGACGAGTAAGCCTGAGCTCTCTCATACAATCAAATCAGACTTAAAAACAAAACTACAATTAAATAGTATCAATTTGTCTCTTACAGGACGAGAAGGCATCTTCTCCACACTGAAGCAGTCAGATATGTGTTTGGTCTGCATTGCTTTTGCCTCCTGGGTGTTAAAATCGTCTGATCCAGAAGGTGCTGACGCCTGGAAAGCAGGTATGAAACTACTTGCAGTGATAGTGTGATGCTACAGTCAGAAATGGACCAATTTAACTAAAACCCCGGAGACTTGAATGTAAACATCAAGGACCCCTGAAAACATCTTCCTCAATCAGTTTATTGCTGAAATGTGACGTCAAACATTTCTGTGCACCAATCGGTTCAGCAACACTGGATTTAAAATCCGATGATGAATATTGTTGTTTTCAGTTTTTGAATGTTAAAAACGTGAAAAAAATATCTAAGATTATTAATTGTTGGATAAATATGTTTAGTTTGAAGCCATGTCCTCGGTGGCTTGGGGTATTTGACAGGAAGTATTGTATATAATATTGCAAATTGAAATCCAATTCTTCATATTGACTTTTATTGAATTCCTGTCTAGCTGTGTTAGCAAATGTGAGCGCGCTGTCGGCCATCCAGTACCTGCGGCAGTATGTGAAGAAGAAGAATCCCTCTTAAGATGATCCCCGACGTGTATGAGAAAGAGAGAGAGAGAGAGAGAGAGAAGAATTTTTAGAATTTTTAGAATTTCCTAAACGTTTTCACCGGGGTCCATCCGTAAAATCTACTGTGTGAATATAATGCAGAAATGTACTACAGGTAGAGGTTTGCAAACTTATGTTTTAAGTTATAATCTGTCAAGAATTTTTCAGCATTACAGGTATTTTATTTTTTCTTCAGAGATTGGGGGGATAGTCCCTGTGCTCTAGTTGGAATCACTCAAAAATAATTTCTACATTGGGAAATACAGATGTATGTGTGTATGTTCGGTTTTAAAATTTTGACTCCGATATTTTCATGCAAGTATGAAACGTACACGTCATATTTGTTGGCGGATAAAAAATAATTAAATATACTCCCTGAGACACACATCATTGTAATAGTCACAAACACTCCAGTGCCAAGTTGATTATTTTTATATTTCTTATTTATTTGAATCAGTACCATACTGTTTATATGAGACCTTATAGGAACAAATTGGCTTTCGGTTCAGAGCCACAGACAAGCTAGTTGAGTTGTGAATGATTGAGGAATGGACAAACATTTAGATGGATTGGTGTCCTTTCATTGGATTTGTTGACGTAAGAAATTAATTTAAGCATTATTGGAACATTCAATCCAATAACTTTGATTCATCAGTTCAGGGTAAAGAGATGTTGATGTGGACCATTATGAAAGTCACTAATTAAAACTCACTTTATTATGTATTCTTTGGGAATATCACAGTTGTAATGGAGGCTTGAAGGTGCTTTTCAGAAGGTACAGTGTGTTTGTGGGGGGTCTTCAGCATGATTAAGGGGACAAAACAGTGAGAAAGTGTTTAGGTTGAAAGATATTGGTCTGACGTGTGTGTCTAATAAAGGCCTCAGTAGGTGGGTAACATGGGCTGTTATTTAGCATCTGTGGTTCCAAACAGGTTTTGCTTTGAGTCTTTTGTCAATTTGTCAAAGTAAAATGTAAAGCTACTATAATTGCCCATTATACATATCCGTCAAAATAAAATTTACATATCCGTTGGTTGTTGCCATCTCAGATGCTTTCATGTAAATGATCTGCTGCTGTGGGTGGCACATTTTCTAAAAAATGATCGTCAGAAGACCTCTCTTTTCCAACTAGACTGGGAACATATGACTTTACATGTATATGTTTTGGGGAATTAAGTGATTTAATGCAATAAAGTTATGAATACATCCTGCGTCTCACTATCCAAGTTGACGTGTGGAGGAAGAAACATAGCTAACATGATCCTATACTGTCATTTTCACACATGCTTTTGCCAGCTTATCTAGTACACACTAGATCAAATGAATGCAGTATGCTTATTATACCGATGAGTGTTCCTGATTTGTAGCCATATTAACGCGCTAGACAATGAACGTGTGTGCTGCACTGAGCAGGATTAATGCACGTAAGGCTGCTGGCCCTGATGGCGTCCCCGGACGCGTGCTCAGGGCCTGTGCTGGGCAGCTAGCTGAGGTCCTGACTGACATATTCAACCTGTCACTAGCCCAAGCTACTGTCCCCACGTGCTTTAAAACCACCTCTATCGTGCCAGTGCCAAAGCACTCCACCGCAGTGAGCCTAAATGACTTCCGCCCAGTTGCACTCACTCCAACCATCATGAAGTGCTTCGAGAGGCTGGTCCTGGCTCACCTCAAAACCTGCTTACCACCCACACTGGACCCCTTCCAATTCGCCTACCGCAAGAACAGGAGTACGGAGGATGCCATCTCCACGGCATTACACTCCGCCCTTTCTCACCTGGACAATAACAACAGCTATGTGAGGATGCTGTTCATAGACTTCAGTTCAGCTTTCAACACTGTCATCCCCTCCAAACTAATCACGAAACTCAGTCACCTGGGTATCAACACTTCCCTCTGTAACTGGATACTGGACTTCCTATCCAACAGACCCCAGTCTGTTAGGGTAGAGAACCACACCTCCTCAACCCTCATCCTGAACACCGGCGTCCCACAGGGCTGTGTGCTAAGTCCTCTCCTCTACTCCCTCTTCACCTATGACTGCACACCTGTACACGGTTCTAATACCATTGTCAAGTTTGCAGACGACACAACGGTGATTGGCCTCATCAGTGACAACGTTGAGTCGGCCTACAGAGAGGACGTCCAGCACCTGGCGGTGTGGTGCGCCGACAACAACCTGGCCCTCAACACCAAGAAGACCAAAGAGCTAATTGTGGACTTCCGGAAGAAAACTGGCACACACATCCCCATCCATATCAACGGGACGGAGGTTGAGCGTGTCGCCAGCTTCAGGTTTCTGGGTGTCCACATCTCTAAGGACCTCTCTTGGACCCTCAACACCTCATCTCTTCTTCAGCGTCTCTTCTTCCTGAGGAGACTGAAGAAGGCCCATCTGTCTCCTCAGATTCTAGAGAATTTCTACCGCTGTACCATAGAGAGCATCCTTACAAACTGCATCTCAGCTGCTCTGTCGCAGACCGTAAATCACTGCAGAGGGTGGTGAAAACTGCCCAACACATCACCGGTTCCTCACTCCCCACCATTGAGGGTGTCCAGAGCAAGAGATGTCTGCGGAGGGCACGCAGCATCGAAAAGGACAGCTCTCACCCCAGCCACAGACTGTTTGCCTTCCTCCCCTCTGGGAGGCGCTACAGGGTGCTCCGTTCCCGGACCAGCAGGTTCAGGAAAAGCTTCATACCTGCGGCTGTCACTCTACTGAACTCTGCCCCCCACCCCCACACACATCTCCCTCAGTGACTGTACTTCCCCCTCCACCCTGGCTTGACTGCCACACCGTCCTCCAGCCACTGAACATTTGCACTGTTATTGCATATCCATTTCTTACTGTTCATATTGCATAACTATTTCTTACTGTACATATCTATTTATTCACGTATTACACTTTACATATGCACATATACTCTGCACTTTTTGCTATTTTGCTATTTCTGGTTGGATGTTAAACTGCATTTCGTTGCCTCAGTACTTGTACCCTGTGCAATGACAATAAAGTTGAATCTAATCTAAAAAACCCAGAATTGCCGCCTTAGTACAAAGCAATTCAGTTACCAGAAGCTGTATCCTTAAACATGATCATACAGTTGTATAATAATGGCTGACTGCATTTATGCGGTGTACTTAATGAGGTCCTAATACCACAAGCTGTTTGAAAGGAACTCAAAGTGCAAAGAGAATAAGGTGTCATTGGAGAAATATTTATTGAAATAAATATGCAATGGATACATTTTCATATTACGTCACATAAATATTGAATGTAAAGGCCGTTATTTTAAAATCCATTCAAATGCTCAAGATTTAGTGTCTCTCCAATTAACTTGTTCTGATTAAAACAATGTAAATGATGAAAGTTTATCTCAACCGACAGATCGTGGTCCAATTAATAATTATCTCGCCTCATAATACTATATACTGTTTTAGCTTATGATTTACTGCTATCGTGCTGAATCGAGGGTCAAGCGTTCACATCTACTGCTATATCAATAGTACTAATTCATATAGAATATTGTGAACATGTTATATTTACAATCTCAAAAATGAGCGAATAAAAGCTTCGGTTATACTGTGAAAAGATATCTTGATATATAAAACTTTAGGATTTAGACAAATATTTAGCAGATTTAAGAGTAAAACCAAACTACTATGATTTCAAAGTCTAAACACCACAATGCAACTTTCTACTCTAGTTTGGTGAGAAATTTAAGGTTGAGTCATGCTTGGTTGGTACAATCATCCACACAGATTTAAATGTTATTCTGTACAAGGAAATCATAGATAGATATTTAAACGTAGGACCAAAGTCAGCCTGTTTTCATATCCTTTATGAGAGCTATATGTGGGCAAATTCATTACACTGTGTATCACAGTTCCACAGTTTGTTCGAGAAAACCTGCCATTTAAAATTTCACATGAATGTGTGAGATCGTTTGTTATTTTAATAATAAAACTAGAATGAAGTCTTAAGTGATATGAAAATCTCGGACAGACTTTTGACAGTCTCATTAAGTGCTGAACAAGGAATGCACATAAAGATCCACAACGATTTTTCTAAAATATATTAAAACAAAAGACACACAAATATTCTCTTAAAGTCTTAAAAAGTACACAGTATTCTATTGGGTATGGGTGTAGGGTTTCGGAGCATAAACCACCTGTCACTCAAGATGGTTTGTCGCCTTCTTTCTTCAGACGGCTTTAGAGAACAGAAACAAAGAAACATTTTAAATGTGTTAAACTGATCAATGAGGATAATCTATAATTTTGTCTCCATTGTAAAATAAATGGAAATAACGCATTCACAAATACAAAAATCTCTCGTTTCATGCTTTTAATCACAGGAACACACCAATGTAATTGTCCCAGTCCGTGCACTAGATTACATATTGAAGATCCTCACCTGTAATAATCCTCCTGACTCGGCAGAGGGCCCCCATGCAGGTGATGCCCATGCAGCCACTGCTGCTCCATTGCCATCCTCTGCAGCTCTGCAGACTGAGCGTGCATGGCCTGCAGCTGGTGAGCAGCCGACATCTGAGGAATGGGGCCCTGTAGCTCTCTTGGATATGCACCTCCTACAGAAAACAGAAAGAAATCTAACTAGAGCTAGACTCAAAATTACACTCAAGTTGTGGGCTGCGAGTTGAGATTACAAACCAAACAATGGGTGGCGCAGCATCTCGTGATCATGAGGAAGATCGCTGAGCAATTGGTTATGGATTGGGCCGCCGGGGAAGGGGAACCGGGCCAAACGTGGTCCTGTTGCCAGGGGGTCCACTAGTGGATGAGGGCCTGAACCTGGACAAAGGAATAAATCATACGGTAAATGCAGGTCAACTTCTGAACAGCAGATATATTAATAGCGACTATTTAATCTATGAATTCAATAAGTCAAAACTCACCTTGACCGAGGGGATCCTGTTGGTGCAGGTGGAGGTGGGAGTGAATATGAGAGTGCTGGTGATGGTGCGGCGTCACGTTGAGCATCTGCAGCCTGACAGCCGGGTCCGTGGCCACAGACGCCATCCTCTCTGCGTGAAGCCGCTCTGCAGTCAGTCGCTCAGCGTAACTCAGCTCGGGGCGCAGCTGAGGTCCCGCCAGCATCATCCTCTCCCGCTCCATCTGGTTCAGGCCAGGGTGGAAGGATGCAAAGTGGTGGGGAGGCCCGGGAATGTGAGGCAGACCGATCGCCCCGTGCCGGGCAAAGTGCTCCATGGGGTTGGCCGAGGGGTGTAAGGTTTCCATGTCCGGGGGCTTCACCTCAAAGCCAGGCTTCATCCTCTCCCGGAGCTCCCTCTCCCGCATGTTCCTCAGCTCGCGCTCTCTGTGGCTGGGCTCGGCGCTGTACAGACCGGGCATGTGGTAGGCCAGCAAGGGGTCGCCGGGGCTCAGTGACACGTAGAAGGGGTGGCTGCGGTTGCTGGGCGACATGACGTGGGGTCGGGCGTATTCGCTCAGGGTGCGCAGAGCCGGCGTGTCGGGACCAATGTAGGGGGGCACTGCGGCGACAGTGGTGGGCGGCTGCTCGAAGGACGGCCGTCCGTGGCCTTGAACTGTCATCTGAACATCACTCATACGACTGTCGTGGGAGGAGCTGGAGGCTCTCTGTAAGGAAAAGGCAGCGTGTGAGACAACTCAAGACAGGAATATGACTGGAGACGTTTGAAACAGGAAGGAAAGGACTCACAGCATTTCTGTCTGCCTCCCTTTCTCTTTCTCTCTCTCGGTCTTTCTCCCTTTCGCGTTCTTGTCGAGCACAGAGCTCCGCCTCCCGCCGGGACTTTTCAACCGCCTCCTCCCTTTTCTTGGCCAGCTTGGAGGACGAGAGTGGAGTGAAGAACAGGTCTGTTCTTGCACAAGAGTTGTAACCGCGATCCAAATGTTTGATAAACCTGAAAGAAATAAAAGATGGCAACTCCTTTTAGTTTAACTAATAGACCTTCACAAATAAAAAGCAACAAGATTAATTCAAAGATTGTTAGGGGTACTATTCCTGTCAGTTATAATAGTACTAATAGATAAGTTTACAAATGTGACTCCAAAAATCAACTACGGTTGGTCTCCGTACCGAGCAGACTGGCTGGCGTGGCTTGCCACGCTGACCACGGTGGGCTCTGGCGAGGGACTCCGAGGTGGAGACGGTGAGCTTTCAGCCTCTTCGATCTCATCCAGCGGCTCTTCTTTTATCTG